ACATAATATATTTCTTATTTTTTGCTGATTTTAGTATTCTTTTTGTTTTGTCTTTAATGTTTAATAATTCAATTATGATTTGTCTTGGTGGACTCCCATTTGGGTGGCATTTAATCAGTAACTCTGAGCTTCCTATACCTACATGTTGTATTTCCACAGATTGAGGAATTTTCAGCCACTTTTTTAAACATGTTTTATAGACATTTCTTCTCTTTTCTCTTTCAGAAACTCCTACTGTACAAAAATTAGCTCACTTGATAGTGTTTCATAATTCTCACAGGCCTTTGTCATTCTTTTTTTTATTCTTTTTAATTTTTATTCCTCTGCTTGGATAATTTCAGTTGTCCTGTTTTTTAGCTGATTCTTCTGCTTGATCTAGTCTGCTGTTGAAGCTTTCAATCGAATTTTTCAGTTCAATTATTGCATTTTCTTTATGTAGAATTTCTATTTTTGGATTATTTATATTTCCTTATCAAACTTGTTTTGTCATGAAGTATTTTACAATTTTTATTTAATTTTTTATCTATATTTTCTTGTAGTTCCCTGAATTTCTTTAAGAAGGGGGTCTTCTCAACTCTTTGTCAGTCATTCCATAGATCTTCCTTTCTTCTTAATTCATAATTGGCACTTTAGTATTTTCTTTTGATGCTGTACTGATTTTTTTCGTTTTTAGTTTCCAAGGGTTATTTTATCAGATTGCTTGAACATTAGATTCATCCTAATATGCAATCCAAAATAGTTACCTGAAGTTTGCTATTGTGTGTGTGTGTGTTTACTTTTACTGTCTATTTGTACTCTTTGGAACAATTCTCTGGGGGCATTCAGACTGCCACGATGAAAGCTTGATGAGAGCTTTTCTTTTTGTATTGCCAATTCCAAGCATTTAAATTTTGGTTTGCTTGGGTTGTGGCTTTTTATGTGTTTTTGAGATCCGCTTTCTTTATTTGTAACAAATGTACTTTTATTCTTCTATATCCTCTATCTCCAGAGTTTTCTTTTTCTCTCCTCCACCCCCAACATTCACAGTTATTAGGAAAGGTGTCTTGTTGCAAAGATCAGGATGGGAGCTCTGACTATTCATCAGTGTTTTTGTTAAAATAATTAAAAAACAATGAAACCTAAAAGCATCTTTTCTTTTCTCTTTCTTTTTTTTTTTTTGTTTGTTTCTTAAGAAACAAACAAACAAACAAAAAGCAGCCTGGCCTTTGAGACTGAGGAGAAAAATGGAGCCTGATTCTCTAACCCACTTTCACTCTACCTTGGTCATATGGTACTGTATGTATGCAGCTAAGAAGAGGGTGAGGGATTTTACAGTCTAAGAATCAGTGTGTATGAGTAAGGTAGTATTCACATTCTCAACTTCAAGTCATTACAAATTCTTTTTCCCAGAACATAAGGAGTTAGATGCTGCATTTCATAAAACTAACTGAAGTTCTGTCTACTAACGCAGTCTCAAAGGCCAAGCTTTTTTTTTTTTTTTTTTTTTTTTTTTTTAGGAAAAAAGAAGGCACTGCACTGAACTCAGTCCCACTTCTTCTCCCAAACCAGTCATTCCACTAGGCACTAGCCACCAAATGAGAAATCCATTCTGGCCACTGGTTTATTGAGATTTCTACACAAGCAATACCAGTCACACACTGCAAGACAGAACTAGACTGGTAAATCTGTGCCCAAGGTCTGCAGTCCCTGATTTTTTTATAGTGACATCGAGGAATGGCCTTTTTAGAAGTCTTTTGGTGGCAACTGATCTTTACTATTTAGTCTATCTTGGCATTTTGGATAGCTCTACTGAAAGTAACCCTGGACATGCAGTGCTGGAGCCAAATTCTCTAGCAAGGCTGGGTTATTTCTTGTGCTCTGAGGACAAATGGTACTTCTGGCTGTGCTCTGTGAGACCAGTGGCTGGACTATACCATCAGGTAAGACTGCATGGTGGGTTCTGTGATCATCTCTAATCAATCAGGAGTGCAGGTTGTCTTCCCTTACTAAGTGATAATATTCTTTGTAATCTGTAGTTTGGTAAGGCTATTCTATAAGCTCTGAAGCTGGGTAAGGTTTACAGGGTTGCTACTAAGTCAAACTGGTAAGGGCCAGAGGTTTTGCTCCACAGATATGTGTGTGCTTGGGCTTACTTCCCAGCCTATGATGGGTGGACAGAGAGCACTGATGTTGGAGAGATGACCATTCTGTATCTGGCAAGGCAACATGCTCCTTTAGTGTTCACTGACTTGTAGTTACTTCCCAGACTGGGGAAACTTAATTTAAGCTAAGGATCTTACTTGGACCACCTCTTTACTGCTAGAGTAGGGAAGGTAAGATGCTCCCTCTGAGGGTTATTGACATGGTTAGCTCTCAATCTGGTGAGGAGTTAAAGAGAGTACTTGGGCTATGTCCAAGTAGTATGTCTATGTCAAAAGAACTGGTCTCTTACTTGTCAAATGTGAGTTTTTCTGGTTCTGAAGTCCAAGGGCAAGTCTCAGTCACATTCCTGAGTATGGTTTATTCACAGTGGTATTCTCACCTGTGGATAGGTGCTAGTTAGATTTCTGTGAGAGAAGTGAGACTAGAGAACTCCTGTTTCACTGTTTTGTTCATGTCACTCTCATTATCATTTGTGTGGTGTGTGTGTGTGTGTGTGTGTTAAATAAAGCCGAGATCATATTCTTAAATAAACTCTCTCACTAAATTGTCATGTAGCATTATATAAGCAACTTGATTACAACTCCCTCTCTCCCTATTTTTCCATGCAGCTAGTGGAAGCTGCCAAACAATGCTGGTTGAGCTTTTGGAAAGGATTAGTTTTCAGAAATTGCATCTTGCTACCTAACTACCATTTTCAAAATGGAATAGAATCCAATATTTACTGGCTACTGATAGAAGTTGCCATTCCAAGGAAATGGCTTCAGACTATAAAGAATTTAGGCAAAGGACAAAATCATGTCACAAATGATATTGTGGGAAAGTACCCATCTGAAAGGTTTATTATGCATTATTTTTAAATTTAAAGAAAGCATTTTAGATTCTTTGAAAACAGTTTCTAACATAAACAAAAATAGCCAAAGATATTTGTCAAATAAATGAATAGAATTTAAAAATAATACAGAGAGACCAGCAGATGGTGTAATGGCTACGTTGCTAGACTCCCATGTAGTCGACTGTGGTTCAAGTCCCGGACCCAGTGGTTTAAACTCACGCCAGACAGATGTGCATGTGTGCCAAAGATCCCAAGAGGAGAGTGGAGAAGAAGAGATTGTGGCATGGCCATCCCACCAGGAGGTGATTTCTCGCTTTCTGTCTCTCTGTCCCTGTCTGTCTTTCTGGCGAGTGCACACTCCCTATAGCAAAAACCTCTCCAATAATAATAATAATAATCTATAATAGTCATTCACTAGTTTGTAAACATTCTTGAATGCCTGTTATATGTAAGCCCTGAGTTCTGTAGTGAGGAAAAAGTGAGAAGAAAGTGGTATAAAAGAAAGAAGGAAACCATTGTTTGAGTCTATGATGAAAATAAGGAACGTATAATGAGTGAGAACAGTGAATTTAGCTTTAAAGAATGAAAATAAAGTTGTCATTAGAATTGAGGTGATAAAAGGGGGCTGGTAGAGAAGGAAAAGAGTAATTCAGTGCAAAGGATACCACAGGAGCAAAAACTTGGTAGTGCGTGAGTCATATGTTCTGAGATTAGGAATAGTCTGTTAGAGGTGTCTAGAAGAAACCAGAAACTAAAAGTTTCAGATAAGATTTTATTCATAGATGTGTTATTTTCTGACTATACAATGATTACTAAAATTTTGAATTAGTTGGGGCTATCAGGAGGTGTGGTGTTTAAGGGCGCTGGACTCCCACATGGCTGACCGTGGTTCAAGTCCTGAACCTGGCAGCTTGCTTTCTCACTTCTTTCTCTCTCAGTCTGTCCCTCTCTGGTCAAATTAAAATAAATAAATAAATGGGTAAATAAAGTTAAATGAAGCAATTCTTTAAAAAATTTTGAATTAGTTGGCACTATTAAAAAAACTTGAAATAACATATTGCTCATAATACATGTTATATATATGTTTGCTATTAATATTGAAAAATAATAAGGTTACATATAAATCTCTCTAGAAATAGGCAGTCATGGACTCTATCTCCTGGAGTAGCTCCTTCAGAGAAGGCATACTGCCTCACAATCACCACATCCTATATGCACCATTCCCCGGTCACACCTTAAATCATGTCAAACATCTACTCTAATCATTTGATTAGACATCTGAATTTCTGAACTCTAGTCAAGCTGTCAAGTATAGGGTGTATTGTTAACCGACCATGTTCTTGTAAGTCATGTTGAGAAGTCTGTACATTTTCATAAGGACAGAAGAGAGCCATAAATGATTAAGCCACGGAATGACATAATTCTATCTATGAATCATATGATACCTTCTTTTGCTAGTCGAAATAGTCAAATATTAGCTTTTTTTTTTTTTTGGTTCCACCTAAAGAAGAATCATTCTAGTTACGTGGGACAAATGAAGTGAAGAGGGGAAAATCTAAAAGCAGAGAGACCAGGTTACAAGGAAATTGTAATTATCGTACAAAATGACCAAGGTTCAGATTGGGATAATGTGAAATAATGACAGTGAAAATGAAGCAAAAGAAAGGGAAGGTGTATATATCAGTAAGAACTATGCTTTTTGACTGCATGGCTCATACATTCATGAGAACAAATTATAATAAAGCGGGATATATTTAGGAGGAAATCATACATGCTTAGCCTTTTCTCCATGAGTTACATGCTTTAAGAATGCTTGCCCAACAGAAAATTGAGAATTACTTTTGTTAGAACCCATTGTCATTTATGAAGATGAATACAATGTTCTTTTGTGTTAGCACAGAGAAATGTTGAGAGTAGTCATTTTGTTATAGAGTGCAATTGAATAAATGACCACCAAAAACAGATTAAGGTTAAAGGGAGTTTATTAGTAGCTGGCCAGCGACTACAACCTGAAGCTCAGGGGCCGAGAATCAGAACTGCAGTGCCAGCCTCTTACAACGGTTGGTTGCCAGGTATGCAGAATTCCCATGGACGAACATTTGCTTGTGTGCAAAGTCTAATATGCAGACTTCCACAGTCTCAGGGGTTGGTTAATGGAGCTGAGTGAGGAGACATAAATACATTATGATGGTGGGATTTTAGCTGGTTACTAAAGGAGGGCAACATTGGCTTTACCTGACATAGTAAGACTGTCTAAAAGGGTTTCTTTTTATTGAGTTACAGACCTATTTGAAAATTTGACAAAAGCTATACAATGTCATCCTTCTCCTCAAGAAAAGTGTATATATGAGACAGTTTAGCAAATGATTTCACAGAACCTTGAAGTCCATCCATAAACTCTATCCAATAGGAACCTCTATGGTTGTAGGGGGGAAAAACGCATATTGCCTCTAAAGTAGTAAGATCATCGTGATACATGTTAGCTTTTTTATGTGTTGAATTATTCTCTACATGACATTGAAATGATAAATGTCAAATGAGGACAAAGTAGGAAGAAGATAGATGAAAAGAAAGTCTTAGAAGGAACATCTTCACCCACCAATTAGGCCACCTAGTATAAGAATGGAGAGGACCAGTCTTGTTTTTCCCTTTGGGAAACTGAACTCAGAAAATAGTGCAGAGGGCTTGCTGACTCAAGTGCATTCTTAAGTAGGTAACGGATACACTGAGTTCCTATCCTAAGAATAAAGAGGATGCTAAACACAGACTATTCACATCATAATTTCCAAGCATCGTAGTCATTTTATCTGTGTATATCTCCATTGCCTCTGTTTTGGTTTGTTTGTTAAAATAATCAGAGAGAAAATTATGCTTATTCAAATCATACCATTGGCCTTTGTAGGCCATCAAACTTGAAAGTGACTAGGCAGTTTGCATTTATCATATGCTCTTTTAAGACAGAAAAGGTTTTATAGTTATCAACTTCTGTTACCTGCCAGACTATCAGTACCATAGTATATTAGGTCATTCCTTTACCTGGAATATATGAAAAATCCATTGCATTTCATAAAATTAGCCAGAGAGGTCAATGTCTGCAGCAAAACACATTAATCTGTACTGCAATCTTATGAGCATCCTCAAGAATGGCCAATCCTTATCCTTTGATAATTTTTAGAAATATCCATACAGCCTTTGAAACAACTGCATACTATTTATATATCTACCTTCACTATTATCTGTACCTCAGGTCCCTTCAGAACGTTGTTTTCATGCATTGGTGTTGAATATTTTAATATCTAAATGCTTAAATGCTTATATCCTATCTATGTAATTGCATGCTCTTTCTTTTTTTTTTTTTTTTTTAGAGAGAGACTTTTTGCTATAGGACATGTGTGTGCTCACCAGAGAGACAGAGGGTAAGAAATAGAAATCACCCCATGGAGGGAGGACTTCAATGCAATCCCTTCTCCTCTGTTCTCCTCCTGGGATCTTGGGCACACATACACACACATATGCCTGGCATGAGTTTTAAGACACTGGGTCTGGGATTCAAACCATAGTTGACCATGTGGGAGTCCAACAACATAACCTTTATGCCATCTGCTGGCCCCGCATAGTCTATCTTTCAAAGTACTTAAGTGGGGTCAGCAGATGGCATGGTGATTAAGGTGCTGAACTCCCATGTGGCTGGCCATGATTTGAGTCCAGACCTGACGACTTGCTTTCTCACTTTACCCCATTTCTGGTGAGCACACGTGCCCTGTAATAAATTTTAAAATAATAATAATGATAAATACAATTAAAGAAATACGTATTTAAAATAAATAAAACAAAAGTAGTTAGGTTTTAATGTTTTCTAACAAAAATGATCTCTTCACAATTCAGGACAGGGGATATTTCATTAAATTCAACATACACTGAATATTTGTTGCATATATGAAACAGTGTTATGTATTAAAGGGCATACAGAATGAATAAAGCATTGTTTTTTTTCTTGAACAGCTAACTTTCCAAGAAGAGCATGGAAATGAGAACCCAAATCAGTAAGTCCTATCAATTATCATCTGGAGATTGATTGTTTAATGAATTCACTGACGGTGAAAAAGGCAGCAACCTTTATAGCCATATGTTAAAGAATAGACTTCATTTTGGGGAATTCAGTGATTTCAGAGTGATGATGCATGGCAAGGCATGGAGAACCGTCTTAATCTGCAGCAGTGTACCAGTAGTGTGGTTAGTGAACACCATCTCAGAAAGGTCCTGGTAGCTTCATTATATCATCTATGAAAACAAAACACTCTCTTCTATTTAAATATTTCACAGATAATTTGAAGTAGAAAAGGAAAAAGGAGGCTAGATTTCTCCCTGTGAAATATGTGCTATTTATGGATTGTATTATACATAAAAATACATATGCTCCAATAACATCTGCAGTAATTTTGTGAGTCCTACTGAGAAGTGAGTGCTTTGAGAGCTTGACAAAGGGAGAAGAAAGGAGTTTGGCAAGAAAAGTTAACAGAAGTCACACCTCATCAGTGGGAGTCAAAATAATACAATTTACATGATTCTGGAAAACAAGGAGTTTCTAAGCAGCTACCAATAACACTACATATATTAGTCAGCCTGCCAGCCCCCTGGTGAACTATCAGTTTGTCGATGAAAGAAAACACTGCCTCAAAGTAACTTAAAATTGTTGTGTGGGCAGCATGATGAATGATCACCACAGATTTCTGCCCCCACACCTCTTAAAGAGGCTTTATAAAATGCAACTCCATGTACAAGCATGCCTTATTTTAAAAATTCTTAGCCATGGAAGGTCTTCATACTCATGGAAAATATAATAGATCTTCTGTGCTGCCTCTCTGTTCCCTATCTGTTGGACAGAGTTTGAGGCAAAATTAATCTACTCACCAAAAGGATTAAGTGTGTCAGGGAAAAGCACAGTAATGTATATATTTCTGAGGATCTCATTTTGTGACATGTAAATGAAAGAAGTGGACATGATCTGAGGTTTGGATGATCTTAGAGCGGTAGTATCTGCTTTCATCTATTTTTATCTCAGGGTGCTAACCTGGTCAGTTCTCATTTCACCTACTGTCTTTAAGTATCTAATATGTGGCAGTCCACTAATACAATGGCTAAGATACTTCAAGGATTGAGCTGGAAATGGTCTCTTCCTTTCAGGTCTTTAGATCCTACAGCAAGACAGGAACTGAAATATGATATTCTGAGTGCTCCAATAACAGAGACTCGAAGTTTTACAAGATCTCATAAGAGAGGTTAACCCAAGACTCTGGAAGTAGAAAGATGTACCTGGAACCAGGGAAAAAAAAGCATTAGCATTCAAAGGGATGGTAGAGAGAAAAATCTAAGAGAGACTATTTTGGGGAGAGAAAATCATGTGTAAAAGGTTAAAGAGTAAGAAAGTATAATGCATTCAAAGAACTGAAAGAGCATCAGTGTAACTGGACCAGGGGATGTCTGTATGTCTAAAGAGGGGCAGGAGAGAAAGGAGGTGGTGTTCAGGGATGCAACTGTACAAGGTTCACATATGATGAGCCTCAGACACCATTTTAATAAATCTGGATATTCTCAGTGGAGAGACATTAAAGAGCTTTTAGCTGGAGAATGATATCATTCCCTGAAAGGTAGTATAGCGTAGCACCTATATCCAAAATACTCTGAAATCTAACTTCCAGGGTTCAACACCCACTTCTGTCACTTATTATCTGTGAGTGCTGGGACAAGTAATTTAATCTCTGGTAGTAATATCACTATATAATCCTCACAAAACTAGCATTTTATTATTATCTGGGTGAAAACCAGTGGGCTTAATTCCATTATTAAGGTCTAAGTGTTGCATTAATGGCAGAATCTCATGACATTTGAAAAGTGCTTCCATTCTTCCTTTGAATTTAGGAGAATTCTGTGCTATGTGTCGTGCCACTTTCTTATGAAATCAATAGACATGGTCTTACGAGCATTTCCCAGTAGAGTTCTTTGAGTCAGGTGTCTCTGACAAGCTACCATCTTCGTTCACCCTAGGGAAAAAACAGTTTTCAAATCTTATGTGGCACAAAGTTGCCCAACCTTTGATACTTGGTCATTTCCTCCTTCCCACTTTCAGAGATCTAGTGGTCTTCAGCTGTCTTCTAATTAGAGAACTATCCTCTAACATTTATGAATCATTTCTGGAAAAAAATTTTAAAAAGACTCTGAAGCATAGATCTAACAATCTATTTACAAAAAAATACAGGGGACAAAGTAATATTTTGTAGGACATCATGATAATCAGATCTTAAAACTATTGGATGTAGGAAAGTCTACAGGATTAATGATCCTATTTCTTCACCAAATAAGTTTTTTAAGGGAAAAAAATTTAAAAAGAGGGGAAATCTGTAGATAAAAATACTCTTAAGGCACTATCAACCAATTTAACATGCAGTCCTACTTTGGACACTGATTTGAACAAACCAACCAACTGTTAAAAAATAACAAACAATAAAAAAGACAATCATAAAAATTTGAATGCTGAGTATATTTCTGACCATATGGAAAAACAATCAGTTCTGGACCAGAAGGTGGCATGGTGATAAAGGCACAGGATTTCCACATGGCTGACTCCAGATTGAGTCCCAGTGGCTTTAGAATCACACAAGACATAAGCAAATGAGTGCCCAAAATGTCCCAAGAAGAATGGAGGAGAAGGGACTGTGGCATGGCCATCCCCCCTGGGGGTTGATTTCTCACTTTCTATCTCTCTCTCTCCCTCTCTCTCTGCCTCTCTTTCAGGTAGCACACATGTCCGATGGCAAAAATCTAAAAAACAAAAACAAAAACAGACAACAATGCAAATAATTTAAAGCGTGTAAGAATGGGATTATTGTTATTTTTTAAGACTACTTAGAGTTTAGAGATAACCAAATTATAAATGAAATAATTTACAGATTGGTCATAAATTAATAATTGCCAAATTGTTGTGATGAGTATGCAAAAGTTTTTTTATTCTATTTTTTTCACTTTTGTGTCTTTTGAAGCTTTCTCTAATAAAAAAAAAAAAACTAAAACTTCCTTCAAAATATGAATGTGCCTTAAAAAAAAAATTGGTAACTCATTAACTCAGCATACATAGAACCAGGACCAGCTCCTCAGTGTAGCTTGAAGGTGCTTCTTCAGCAATGCAAGATCCATATGGAAGACTGTGGGTTTGGTTCCCCTGATAACCTGTACATGCCAGACACACAAACCCATGGCTGGGAAGGCTGGCAGAGATCAAAGCATGAAATCCTGTTTAAGGTACTTGACTTTCTCTCTCTCTCTCTCTTGCGCATGAAAGAAACAAATAAACTTTAAAAAAATACAGTGGACCGATATCACTCAAAAGTAATGTCTTTTTCCAGAGAACTTGTAAATTGAAAGGTATTATTATAATTATTATGCCTTTTGCAATACAATTTTAAGAATTTAAAAGAATTTCCATTTACATGGAAATGAAATCAGGTGCAGACAAGGGCAGTCATCACCAGGAAGCTTGTTAGAAATGGTGAATCTTGGGCCCCACCCAAGACCTACTGCATTGACTTATGCATTTTAACTATCTTTTCTATGATGGATATGGACACTAAACTTTGGGACTCAGTAGGCAGGAGGTCAGGAATTCCAAAATATTTCTTTAAACTAAAGCCATAATAAGTGGGTAGAAGAAAAGAAAAGAAGCTATTACTTATAAACTGTGCAATTTATACAACAGATGCTTTTTATTCATTCAACATATATTTATTAGCACATGCTAATAATTATAGCACATGCTATGTGGAGGGCACTGTAAATACTGTAGTATATGAAACAAACAAAATGTCTGACCTGATGGAATTAAGATTTTCATAGTGGCTGACTAACGCATACTGAGTACCTAATAAGTACTGTGAACTTCTAAGCCCTCCACATTCATAGAGCACAAGGGAAAAAAGGTTAGTGGCTCCTTCAAAATATGAATGTGCCTTAAAAAAAAAATTGGTAACTCATTAACTCAGCATACATAGAACCAGGACCAGCTCCTCAGTGTAGCTTGAAGGTGCTTCTTCAGCAATGCAAGATCCATATGGAAGACTGTGGGTTTGGTTCCCCTGATAACCTGTACATGCCAGACACACAAACCCATGGCTGGGAAGGCTGGCAGAGATCAAAGCATGAAATCCTGTTTAAGGTACTTGACTTTCTCTCTCTCTCTCTCTTGCGCATGAAAGAAACAAATAAACTTTAAAAAAATACAGTGGACCGATATCACTCAAAAGTAATGTCTTTTTCCAGAGAACTTGTAAATTGAAAGGTATTATTATAATTATTATGCCTTTTGCAATACAATTTTAAGAATTTAAAAGAATTTCCATTTACATGGAAATGAAATCAGGTGCAGACAAGGGCAGTCATCACCAGGAAGCTTGTTAGAAATGGTGAATCTTGGGCCCCACCCAAGACCTACTGCATTGACTTATGCATTTTAACTATCTTTTCTATGATGGATATGGACACTAAACTTTGGGACTCAGTAGGCAGGAGGTCAGGAATTCCAAAATATTTCTTTAAACTAAAGCCATAATAAGTGGGTAGAAGAAAAGAAAAGAAGCTATTACTTATAAACTGTGCAATTTATACAACAGATGCTTTTTATTCATTCAACATATATTTATTAGCACATGCTAATAATTATAGCACATGCTATGTGGAGGGCACTGTAAATACTGTAGTATATGAAACAAACAAAATGTCTGACCTGATGGAATTAAGATTTTCATAGTGGCTGACTAACGCATACTGAGTACCTAATAAGTACTGTGAACTTCTAAGCCCTCCACATTCATAGAGCACAAGGGAAAAAAGGTTAGTGGCTGAAGAATATTCAAAACCCATCACATTAAAACATTATATTAAACATTGAACAGGTCAACCTAACCTTACAGGCAGAGCTGACTAGCATTTCTAATTTGTTACACGCTGTACCTCTTCCCTTCGGCTTTGCGTAGTAGGCCAGGGCATCCTAACTTCCACAAAACACACGGAATTCTATTCATTCCTGTTCCTCTAATTCCTAGAATATTTGCTTTGGCCCAGTTTCACCTGGAGCCACACAGAATTGGAAGTAGAGAGCACACATCGCTTGAGATTTACTCTGTCTAGGCACTTTATAAGAAGCATCATTCGAACTCTCTAAACAATGTCACAAGTAAATATTTGCATAGTTCATATTTGTGTGTTGAGCCGTGGTAATACGATTGAGAGTATGAAAATTGATCCAGTTATGGTATCGAAAGGTGAAAACTTCAGAAGTGATTAAGTAATGAGTGGAAGAGCTGTGACCGAATTCTACTGGGTTTATGAGGAGAGGGAATGAGATCAGAGCAGGGAGAAGTCACAGACACAGCTGCTCTGCTCTTACCCTCATGATGTGGCCAGGTCTCTGAAAGATCCAAACAATTATGACCCTGGACCTCTAAACGTGAACTAAATAAACTTCTGTTTTTATAAGTCACCCAGCTTTAGGGTTTTTTTTGTTTATTTGTTTGTTTGGTTGTTTTTTTTAGAACAATGTCTTTCACATTTTACTCAAAAAATTACAACTCAAAAAAATTAAATATCTTACACAAACTCACAAAGTATCCCGGGGTTAAGCCCCTCTAAATTAAAAGTCCAGTGGTTCTCAAGCTTGACATGTTTCAAAGTTACCAGAAGGGCTTGTTAAAACAAAGACCTCCAGACCCCATCCCCAGGGTTTCTGATTCTGTAACCTTGGCTGGGGCCCGAAAATTTGCATTTTTAACAAACCCTCATGGAATGGAGCAGTGCTACTCACACTTTGAGAACCACAGCTTTCAGATGTATTTAACTGACTTCACAGTTGAAGTCAGCTTTCTCCACCCATAAAACAGTCCTTCAAATGTTTTATGGTGGCTATTTTATCAGTCAGAAAACACTAGCAGTCATAATAAATATACTCCAAAAATGCAGAATGGCTCAAACACAGAGAGTTTTATCTTTTTTTTTCTTTTGTTTTGAGAGGTTTTTTTCAATAAGGCACATGCACTTGCCAGGAAGACTGAGCATGACAAAGAGACAGAAAGCAAGAAATCACCCCCCGGGGGGATGGTCACACCACAATCCGTTCTCCTCCATTCTCCTCTCGGGATCTTGGACACAAACGCACATGCACCTGACGTGAGTTTAAGCACCGGGTCTAGGACTCAAACCATGGTCAACTACATGGGAGTCCAGCGACATAGCCATTGCACCAACTGCTGGTCCCTTATCTTTCCAAAAATGTGACAGTGTAAACTAGGTGTTCCTGATCAGCAAGATAGGTGAGCTCTTCTCCAAGTGAACATTCAGAGACCCATTCTAAAGGAGTCTCTCAAATCTTCAGCATGGGACTTGCAGGGTGACTGTGGCTATTTTCATTCTAGCCAAACACAGAAAAAGTATGGAGAAGCCTGGGTAGAAATTCTGTACAGGTGTGGTCTGGAAGGTCACAGAGCACACATTACTTTTGCTAGACATAATCACATGTCCACAGCTGACTGTACAAAAGGCATAATATATACTTCAGGAGCAGCCGGTGGTGTGGTGGTTAAGGTAGCTGGATTCCACATGACCAGCTGTGTAGTTCAAGTCCTGAATTAATGGCTTGAAAAACATGCCAGAGTGCATGCATGTTCAAAATCATAAGAGGAAAATAGAAGAGAAGGGATTGAGGCACAATTATCCCTATAGGGGTTGTTGTTTCATGCCCACCCACCCCCAACTCCTGTCTCATGAGTACACATGCCCTCTAGCAAATTTTTAAAATGTATATTGTAGCTTTGGGAACCAGCAGTTAGCGTAATGGCTATGTCGTTGGACTCCCACGTAGTCGACCGCGGTTGGTGTCCCGGACCCGGTGGCTTAAAACTCACGCTGGGCGCGTGTGCGTGCGTGCCCAAGATCCCGAGAGGAGAATGGAGGAGAAGGGATTGCGGCGTGACCATCCCCCCTGGGGGGTGATTTCTC